CATTAGTCGAATCGTTTTCTCAGATTTCTACAACGTTTCGTCGCCAGAACGATAAACTTTTCCCATTGTCAAAATACTGGTGACCAAGTATGTGACGTCATTGATGCGGCATCAACAGCATCTTTCTGAGGGTTGTGTAGCAACACTTTGACTCTGCTGCCACCTGCCGCAAAACACCATCCCATTAGAAACACACGATGAGTACGTCTCATCTACACAGAACAGGAACACAAACAGAATATACAATACAAACCAAGGACTCATAATAGCGTAATTAAAATTTACACGGTATACTGAAATAAAAAAAGCATATGATTTTTTTTTCTTTTACATTTAATTCTATTGATATAATTATTCTAAAAGATAACAGGGATAAAAGTAATATCCCAGTGGTAGAAGCTTTATTAATGTAATAAGGCCCCAGGTAAAATTTCTTGCTCAATAAATTGTATGTATAGTCTCTGTTGTCAGCAAATCAGAGAATGATGTTTAAAATTCAACACTTAAACAGCCTAAACCTAGAGAGTTGTTGGTTTTTTAGATTTTAAATATGCATTTTGACATTGATCAGAGTAAGTGGAGCATCACATTTATTTATGTGTTCAACAAATAAATATTAACGTTAATCATAAAATATAGGAAACCTCATTGTGAGTAGATAAAATTGCATTGTTTGCTGTAAAAGGCAAAACAGTAATCTGCTAGTAAACAGTAAGCTGCAGATTAGAAGGAATGAAATTGTGCTTCTTGTTGTTCTAGACAAAATAAATAAGCTGTGCTTTGGTCTCCCTCTGCTAACCGTTGCCTTCTAGAGCTCACATATGAGCTTTTGCCTTTATAAAGATAAAGGTTGTGAAGTTGGTCATTTGGAGTAATGAGACATTCAATTTTTGAAATCAAAGTTTGTTCTTCCCGTTTTATGTTTCAGGTTAAATTACTGCTATAGTTCTAAGGAAATTAAAAGATTTCCCAGTAAACACAGAAGCTGTTTTCATCAGTTATTTCGTGGA